TGATGGTGATGGTGGTGATGGAGATGATGGTGATGGTGATGATGATGATGGTGATGATGGTGATGATGGTGGTGATGATGATGGTGGTGATGATGGTGATGATGGTGGTGATGATGATGGAGATGATGGTGATGGTGGTGGAAATCATAGTGATCATGGTTGGGTTGGTGATGATGGTGGTAGGAATGGACTCAGCCAGTATGTGTTCAGTAGACTTAAGTTCACACCCAATCCCCTGATTTCTATTTTATGTGTTCATTTTTCTGGCAGGAGGCAGAAAGAGTCTGTGTGTGAAACTCAGCTGTTTCAGATATAGGATATGTACTTGGTAACCATTTGTTCTCATTACTACAGAGCCAAAAACATTTCGTCATTCAGTTAGTAAATGCAGGGCTCTTGGAGATAGGAATATGCCTAGAAAATATTCCCAAACCTTTTCTCTTTCATCATTATCAATATAACAGTGTCTGTTTCTTCAGTGGATATAATTTATAATGAGAGATGTTTATCAGCATGCCCTCCACATACAAGTTGTGTCATTAGTAATACTTTCAAAGAGGATGTATCTGAGCTGAGTGATGTGGATTATTACTGGTGTATAATTCTTTCAAGTTCATTTATTCTACATGGCCTACAGTGCCCATAAGTTACTCTTTTCTCTTAGGGCTAACAGGCAGGTTATTTCAAGAGCTTAATACTTTTTTGGATGTTTTTTATTTTGGTCGTTCAGGGGTTGAAAGCTACAGAGAGGAGTGATATGCATGTGTGTGAATCTTTCCTATATTTGGAATGGGCTGATCTTTTTTATTTTTTTCTGATAGATTGTTGGCTGCTCGGGATTGCAGATGCATCATTAAGTTATTGCATTTAAATTTAGCTCTTGTTCTCACTTTGGAAGGGAATGGAATGTTTGAATTATTTCACCATGAAGGGAGAGCAATTAGAAAATAGAGTCCTCATGACTTTTCGAAACAGGAGGTCTAGCCAGTGAGTCTCAGTGGGGGCAGTGTGTTTGACTCAGAGGAGGAGGTTCGCTGAGAGGTCCCTCAGTCTGAAGGTAGTTAAAACGAACTTAAACACGCCTTAATGATTGCCAGGGTTGAGACTCTCTGAGGGCACCATTTTACCTATAAATCTGTGGTGATCTTTATTCTCAACACCACTACGTCCATCCCTCCAAACGGGGGTCAGTGCCCCTTGGTGTAAATAAATGATTAAAGTGTTTATTTATGCCCTGAATTGGGGAAGTTATGTCACCAACAACGCTTTCGCCGAAGCTTGGGTCTGTGACAGCATCTTGAAAATCATGTTCCTTTGTCAGATTTTAAGGGCAGTAGATACTCATTGGAGTCACGTGTCACAGAGGTGTGTCAAGGTGAGAAGCTCAAACCCATGCAGACCCGTGGGCAATCACTGTGCACGATTGGGTATTTCCTTCCCGAATTTTCAGACCTCCCCCCATCCCCCATGTCTACACACGTACACACACAGACACGATGTCTTGGTATGTGGACGCATCTGCACACACAGCGTGGGCGTCTATATGGTGTGCGTACACGCATTTATGCGTGTGTGTGACCAAGTGCATGCATACTCTCTGCCCTGAGACTCTTACAATGAATTTTTCATTGCTCAAGCAGTAAATTGATACATTTGATTTTTAAAACCCAAGTGTCTTTTGATTCTCTCCCTTTCACTGAGCTAACAACCACTGTCAACAATTATGAGCTTCAAAGAAAACCATATGGATTTTTCTGCAGATTAGTATTTTTCTTTTTTATTTAAGATTTTTTTTAAAGATTTATTTATTTATTTGACAGAGAGAGACACAGCAAGAGAGGGAACATAAGCAGGGGGAGTGGGAGAGGG